TAACCCCAGAATGTGGGGGTGGCAATGGCATTTCCGCTGAATGTAGACTAGTCCCCCGAAGACAGCTCGGGGCTTGCCGACTCGGCGCCCCCTCTGCGCGCCCCGAGCGCCATCATGACTCCCTGACTGGCGCATACTCTTTCGTCTCCATATGAATATAGCTTCTTCCTTATCCCCCCCCCCCATCCCTCCCCCCAAAGGAGTAGGGCTAGCTCGACCGCGTCGGCAGAGTGGAGGAGCATCCGGCATGGGGAGGTGTTAAAACCCGGCACTATTGCACCCCTGCAGTCATGTTTCCTCCTTTCATGTCCCACGCCCATCATGGCCGACTTGCACGACAAAGACCTCGAGAAGGTGCACGTTGACTTCGTGGAGAATGTCGAGAAACCAGAGCCCGCAGACCCGGTTCTGGTGGACGAGACAGGCCGCATTCAGCGTCTGCCGGTGCCCAGCGATGACCCCAATGACCCCTTAAAATTTGCTGTCTGGGAGAAGACTGCCATCATCGTATGTTGCTGTTGGTTCTGTAAGTGCCACTGGGATGGTGTCGAGCTTGCCGTGCCCTTTGCTAATTGACGCAGCCATCATGTCACTGTCGGTGGTGGGAGGACTGGGTTCGGTCCTCGACGTCTTCTTCCAGTTGTACGGGGCGGAAGGCCGCAGCACCAACCAAGTCGTCTGGCTCTCGACCTTCCCGTCCTTGTTCGTGGGCGTGGGTAAGACTTCAGTTACTATCCTCTTCCCATTGTGTACGCAAGTGTATGCTGAATGGACCAGGAAACTACATTATCCTTCCTCTCGCCCTCGTATGCGGCCGACGACCGATCATGCTCATCACCACCGTCGTCCTGCTCGGCTCGCTCATCGGATGCGCCCTATCGCAGAACTGGGGCCAGCATCTGGGCTTACGTATCCTGATGGGCTTTACCACAGGCGCCACGGAGTCTGTACGTTCGCCCTTTCTCTGAGTGATCGCAACCACCTCACTAACCCAACCAGCTTCTCCCCCTGATGCTCGCCGAACTGACCTTCGTCCACCATCGCGGCACCATCTACGGCATCTACTGGGCCTCCCAGAACATCATCACCAGTCTGCTGACGTTGGGAAGTTCCTACGAAGTCGCCGCCCTCGGCTGGCGCTGGTTCTACTGGGTCTTCGTCCTCACCGTCGGCGTCGGCCTGGTCCTCGTGGTCTTCGGCTGCTTCGAGACCCGGTATCAGCGCGGAGCGGTCTTCCTGCAGAATCAAGCCGTCATCACCGACGAATATGGCGTGACGCGGGTGCTAGGCGAGGAGGAAGCCCGCGCCTGGCTTGCCGCGCAGACTGAAACCTCCTTCCCGGGGGCTCCCTCGCAGCATCCCCCGGCCAAGAAATCCTACCGCCAAATGCTAAGCCCGTG